GCAGCATGTTCGAGCTTAAGCTAAATTTAACTCCTAGTTATATACTAAATGTATATGTATAGCAGAGTCTCTGTTTGTTTGTGTGCTTGTCAAAATTGACAATGGCATAAAATGGCGTCCGCCAGTTCAATTCATGTTAGCCAAAAACGTGATTTAGAACTTAAATATTGCTACTTCAAAAACTTTTGCTATGCTTAAAGTATATTTATTTATATATTTCAGATTTTTTTTATTTTTTAATATCATTTTTTAGATTATATATTTTTAATTATATTTATTGTATTTTATTTAATATTTCAGCTAACTATTTATAATTTTATAATAAGTTACTCGACATTTTACAAAATATAATAATTAATTAAATTAATTGTATTTAAAGTACTTTATTTTTTAGTCATTTACTATTTATTTTAAAATATATTGTAAGTGATAATTTATTTTTATTTTTATTTTTGATTATTTTTATAGTTAAAATTTTGTCAAAATTAAATATAATTAAATAGAAATATAAATTTTATGTTATATATTAGTAAATTCAAAATGAAAATGTAAAAGAGTTTAGCTACAAACTTTCAATGTATCTCTACAAATGAATTCCACTGTGTGTGTGGCAGGGCGTGGCACCGCCTACCGCCAGTACATTGACGTCGCATTGTAAACTTGTCTGTCGTTTTGGCTTGGGGCCAACTTCTGTTAGTTTTGGGGTACAAAGCAAGCATGGATGTGCATGTGTGTGTGTTTACCTTTCTGAGTTAGACTGAGGTGCAGGCATTCTCTGTGTACCTGTGTCTGCCTGTGTGTGTGTGTGTGGTCGGCACAGCTCATTTGTACTATGCGAAGTTGATGTTTTCGTTTAGCCACTGCATGTAATTATGGTCAGAGCCTTCGGCACTTTTGGCATTATTAAGAAATGTTCTTTTCGGTCTTTCCAAATCCCAGACAACGAGTAAAACCAACTGCCATGTGGGTTATACAGCTAAGAAAATATAAGCCCCGAGAAGAATATTAATCAGTTAGATTAACTTTCACAATTTGGAGTGAAAGGAAATTTGTAAGCTGCCAGAAAATGATATAAATTATTTAATGTAATTTACAATCTTCGATATGCATTTCAATGCAATTAAAATGAAATTTATGGCAATATTGCTCAAAAGACTATTGACTCTAGGCCACACACATGCTTGAAGTCGAGTCACTGTTAATAATGCCAGCTCGTGTGTGAACTACTCTAGTCGCATCCGATGATTATTAAGTCGTTTATTAAATGGTAATTGCATCCGAGTTAAATCAAACGAGCTCGAAGGCGACGATGCTGAAGGAGCCTAGTGTAATTGAGATTTAATTGGAATGTAATTAAAATTAATAATGCCTTAATATAAAGTGTAAATTGCGGAAGCTTTTGTCCTTCAATGCCGCTGACGTCAATAGCAAAAACAATGATCGACAACAATGTGTGGGCGACTGCATGTGTGTATGCGCTTAATCATTTAATTAATGCCTGCAACCACGTGGCGTATGTGTAATTTCTTTTGTTAAGTGAAGACTATTCGAAAACAAACTGATGTCGTCCTTGGGGCAGTGCAATGTATGAATATTATCGATGAGAGAAGTTCAATGCAAATAATTTTCATAATTATTAACAATGGCATATCGATTTACATGACCAAACAAGAGCTATAGGCAAACAAAGTGCCTTAAAATACAAACAACGTGAAATATTACATCTGTTCAGATATTATTCTAAAGCTGCTGCTATTCAACTGGAAGACTTAATTCAGTTTAAGTTCTAAACACAGCTTATCTGTGTTTTTTTGACCACTTCGACTGCATGTTGTCCCGATATCTAAAAGAGTAAAGTCATGTTCAAACTTTTTTGCCATGATGACGAGCGACTTCATTAAGAAGTGTGCCAGCTGCTTGATAAATATTTTAAAATATTTTGCTACTCTGGGCTGACATAAGACAATTTATTATAAAATGGCAAAGCTTATTGAATATTTCTGTGAATCAATGCCATTGAAAACTTAAGTAGCTGCAGAAATATAATTATTTGAAGTAGTATCACTCTTAATAGGCCATACCTTTCATTTCCATTCATATTCTATATGCTAATCACAGTTAAATCTTAAATTGGGCTCGGACATGAAGCAATCAATAGGAAATATAACTTTTTGTAATTTGCAAATAAAAACGTTTCATAAATGCGTCGCCATTTGTTGCGTCTGACGCCAACTTAATCAGCGCGTAGTTTGGGCCAAGCAACTAATTAGGGCAACACATGCGGAACGGGCCACAGCTCGCATGATGAATGCTCCACAAATGTGGCAAAGGGAAGACCATTAGTCACATGAGTGTGCCGAATGGCTGAATGGGTGAATGGGTATCCTGCAGGATACTGTCACAGGACCTAAGAGGTGGTCAGCTTGTGGGCAGCGGATGCTGCTGAATGGCCATCGTGCTGCCATCGTCATTTAGCAGTTGACTTCAGTTGTATGAATAAACAGGATGGCAAATTAAATTAGTCATGAGAGCGTCCTTTGATAAATAATTAAAAGGGAAACAATTTTCTTTGTTTTTTTAGCATTTACTTTATATAAATTGCCTTTCATATTTTGTAAAGCAGATGCTGAGGATTGTTCGGGTTGCCGAAGCAAATATGTTTTGATGTTTATTGAATTATGATTTAAGTCTACATCATTTCTGAGCCGCAATTGAATTGTCAACGTCTGCGAAAATAGCTGAAAGCCGTGCAAATCTCCATTGAGGCATTCACACAATTTCACGTTTCATCAACGTCAGACGCCAGCTTCACGGATTCCAACTGAGCCTCAGGCAACGCGTAAGCCACAGACAACAGTCAACAGTCAACAGTCAAGAGTCAACAGCCGAAGCCCGATGTCAAGTTTGATGATTCCCAATCGACGCTGTCATGGTCACTCAAGGCGTGCACAGTGTGGCAACAGTTATTAGCACGAGCGCAAAGTGAGTGCCATTGTGTACTTTAAAGACATTTCGCAGCTGAATGAAATATTTCATATTTCAGTCGCCGACTTAACATGATTGATAGCTCTTGAATATTCATTAAAAGTCAACATCAAGTAATGTTAATATATATATATATATTTCTATATATATATATATGTATTGGAATCGAATAAATTAAATGTCAACATATGGCCACTGCATTTGTGCACTTAATCACGTTGTTACCGCTCCAGAAGTCAACGCAGTCGAACATTATTTTTATCCTTACGCCAGGCCAATGATAAATGAGTTCAGCGGGTATTGCACTCGCCCTTCGCTGCCGACTTGCCGACTTTTAATCCTTATGCGAAATATTAATTAAGCATGCATGAAACTTTATTTTTTAATTATATCATTTTACACAGTCGTTATACCCAGTGCAAAATAAAGTAAAAATAAATTCGGTTAAATTTTAAAAATAATTCTGAATGCAAGAGTTGGCTGTAATCGACTGAATAATACCCGCTTACAAATTTTGTTTACTATTATTTTATATATTTATATCTAAATGGCATGAATAAAGCTTTTAAATAAATTTAAAAATAATTTAATATCGAAAATTATTTTTGTTTTATTTTAATTTCTTGTTGCATAGCTCTTGTTGGGTCACCCTTAGGTTGATTTGTTGCCACACTCGATAAACTCCCTTTCACCTCCCGCACAGAGCATGTGTAAATATTTTTGGGTAATTTTTATATGGAGCAGCATTATATTGACTTACATTTATTTATTCATATATATATATACATATATATATATATATTATATGTGGTGGCCCATAATGTCAAGGGATTAAAATTTGTTATAAAAATAGTTGAAATGTTATTGGCTGCCCGCAGCTGAACGCTGTCCCGCTCTGACTACCTGGCGTCTATTAATTCAATAGCCAAACAAGGCTACAAAACATATGTGAACAATACAGATAAACAGCAGCAATGCGAAAGCCGCCAGATAAATGGCGCTAACAAAAGCAACATGTTAAATAAATATTCATAAATTAATGCAAAACAAAAGCCAATGTGGGGCTACACAAACACTCAGAGTATATATGTGTGTGTGCGTGTGAATTAGCCCACTTTATATAGGTGGCATGCGCCACTTTGTGGCACGAACAGCTTCCTGCAATAAATGAATAATGCCAATGCAGCACAAACTAAAAGCTAAAAATTAAACAACAAATAAACAGAAGTTGTTTGTTTGAGCTTGCTCAACTTGCAAATACCCTGTTTATGGAGTCAATATCAATCAGACTAACAGACTAACTAGCAAACTAACTGTAGAATATATTTACAAAATTATTTCTTCTGATATATTCTTTTTATATTTAATTTATATAAAATTTTAATTACGGTTTTAATATTTCTTTTAATATTTAATAATATATTATAATAAATATAATATAATATAATATAATAATTTGTGTCATTAAAATTTTATTTTTACATATTATTATTTATCATATATTTATACTTAATACTATTACTATGTATATACATATATATATATATATATATATGCACATTTATATACATATATCCGTCACATCTCCACATACCCCCTCATAAAAGCGTAAACAGGGTATATTTTTAGCAAACAAGAAAATTTCGAATAATCAGGCAATAAACGTGCGTGTTTAATGGCTAATAGCTCACAGTGATTGCAAGGCAAGACAAAGCTTATTTGATAGTCGATTTCTTGTATCTGTTGCAGCGAGAAAGGTAAAGAGTAGAGATTGATTTTTAATGAAGACCGCAGCGTGAAGCCGCGCTTCATACAACTGACAGATGCAAAGATTAATGAATGTGTCGATTGAGTTTCGACTTGGCCAAACAAACACACACCCACACACAGGCACAAGACCAGACGAGTGTGCCTATGCATAATTGACGATTTGATGTATTGCCAAGCCACGTTTTGCTTGGCTCGTGAACCGTTTATTATGTTCCAATCGGGCCTAGCGGCGTATACGTAATATGCGTTAAAGCAAAAACTATTTTCGTTTGTGCAGCTTGTATCTTTTACCCAGTTTTATTCACTTAATCGAATGTGTTTTGAAATTAACACACGCCCACGCACACACTCACAAAGTTATACTCTGTGATTGTCTCAGTGTTTTCGTATTTTGAGTTTCTGAATCACCACAACAATGAATTCCGGATTGAGGGACATGTGCACCTCGTGCGAATCGGAGCGTATGCGCAGAAAGGTGACATCGTTAGCCGGATCCAAGTCCCTGACCACGTTGCGTGACATTTTGGCCAGTGGCTGCAGCTGAGCCGCATACATATAGGTGCGCCTCTGGCTGACAGTGGACCGCACCGGCTTGCCGGCCGCATCAATTATAATAATTTCTCGTGCGCCTCGCTTCTCAAAATTCTGCACAAACGAATCGCCTTCGTAGGACTTTGCACTGCAAGCCCGCAAGGTCAGGTTCAACAGTTAAATTCAACGCGCAAAACTCTCAATACTTACCCTCCAGAATTACGCTTCTTCAGGCTGCGTCGCTTGATGTCGATCGACATTTTATGTTTTATGTATTTCTATTTTTTGATTTGTTTGAACTGAGTCAAGCTCACAATTGAATTACTGATGAAAACCATATTGAGGGAGACGCTTCTCAGCGTCTCGAGCAATGCCTACTTTTCTTTTAAATTGACTATATTAAAACAATTTATTCCAGCAATTCACAGCAAATAGTTTGGCTCAGTTTGAGCTTGCTTAATTATGATTTCATTTTCTATTGCTCTTATTTGGTCAGCTATGAAAGCAGAGCTCAACACCCAACAATTTGCATTGATTTTACAGAACTAAATTACGATATGATTTTATTTGAATAAACGAATATAATCAATTAGTTATTAAATATCATTTCTATTTCTGTTGCTAGAGTGGAATGCGTCCACGTAGATAATTCATGACGGCTGCAGTGCCCATGGCTAGGACTTGGTGGCGTGGCTGGCGGAACGGATTGCCGGATAGCTTTAGGTCGGTTATGTTGGTCAGATTGCCCAGCACCGGCGGCACCAGCTGTATATCATTGTTACTTAAGTCGAGCGTACTGAGATAGCGCAAGGCGCCGAGCCCGTTCTCTGTGGCGTCTACCTCTTTGATCTGATTGTCATTGGCTGTGAGCGTTTCGAGGGCATCCAGCTCGTAAATGCAGCGGGGCAAGTGGTCCAGGCGGTTGTGCGAAATGTTCAGCTCGCGTAGCGACTGCAGCCCAGCAAACTCCATGGGCAAGTCGCGCAGCAGATTGCATGAGAGATTCAAGCCCAGCAGACGCGAGAACTGCGATATGAACGTCGGTATATAGCACAGCTGATTCTTGGCCAAGCCCAGGTCGGTGAGCAGGTCGCTCATCCGCCTCAGCTCCTCTGGCACATCGGTGAGCAGATTATCCTCAAGGTTCACAATGTTCACCAGCTCCTCGCAGGCCGTCTGCACGATCTCCTCGGACAGCTCCTTCAGCTGCGCCTTGCACAGGCTCAAAACTCGCGTATTACGCATCATATACTTATCTGGATAGGGGCCATCAGAGTCTGACTGCTTGCCGCCCTGCACTCGAGGGCTGTTTAAGCCATCGCCCACCATTTTGTTTGTTATCACAGAGTAAAAGACAAATCACAGCCGATATCAAATTTTAGAAAATTAAGGCGAAACGAAGCTAGACTAATGACATTGAATGAAACACAACAGAATTCTCATATTTCCCAACGACTTTGGAGCCACAAAGTGCGGCAAATACGAGAAAATAGTCGAGGCTAATGTGTTGAGAATGAAAATTTTGGAGCACTGCAGAGTTTTTAGTATGTGAGCTGCGAGATATTTTCATTAGAATTATGTCTAAATATGCCATATTTCTTAGTTCTCAGTAAATTTTGTTGACATTTTTGCCATTAAAGCCACGAACAGCTTGGAAACGATTACAAATTTGTCCAGCTAATAAATCGATTAGGTAAATAAATCGATTACTTTTGATCTTTATTAAGAATGTATTGAAATTAAAATTAAAAAAATAATAAATAAATAAAATAAAATAAAATAAAATAAAATAAACCCATTGCATATGCCACTTGGAGGCGTGACAAGTCGACAGTTCAGAGACCTATGAGCAGCATGGCAAACACATTGAGGCGTGCATCACTTGGCAGTCTTAGACAATGAGCGAGGCCCTTGCAGCCAGCTGCAGCTGAAGTGTTAAATGGATCTATTTCGCAATAGAACCTTAGCACAGCCTGACTTTTAAAATGCATGTCTTATGATCAATTGAGAGATCAAAGGAGAAATCTCATTAATGCAGGCAAATCAGATCCAATCGAATCCTTGGCTTGGAGAAGATTTCCTCCGCCCGTTGCATTTCCCACCCGTTGAGCACCTTAAAGTGAAGCGAACAGAGACGTGCATGTAAGAGTAGCAGTCAACATACAATTTTATAGTTGTCATAAAAACAGTCATTTGAATAAGATACAAATTGAGCACTGAAGCCAAAGACCGTAGTAGATCTGATGCAAAATTTTACGAATTGGATTCCATAATTAGGTTTGTGGCGAGTTCAGAGAACGCCACAGTCCCTGATGACAACCAGCTCATGTTTCTTGGCCAGATGTGCGGTGGCATCGTGTATGCGCTCCAACAGCTGCATACCCTTGCGCACCTTACCGAAGGCGACCCGCTTGCCATTCATGATGGACAGCGGCTTGAAGCTGATGGTGAAGTTGAGGTCGGTACGGCTGTTGCCACGCACATAGCGACTGGGAAAGGAGAGAATGCCCGCATCGACACCATGGTTGAGCACCTCGAAGTCGTGCTCGATGTTGCTCATGTCAATGCTGCGCTCGGGATCGAGAGCAATATGGCCCTCCAGCCAGATGGGTGCGAAGGTGCGTGTGAAGGAAATGCTGCGCGAACTTTGGTGCGTGCAGACACGCATGAATTCCAGCACGACCTGCGGACAGGCCTCCGTGAATAGCTGAATCGCCAGGCGACCCATGATGCGGGTGCCAATCACTTCTAAGTCCATGTAAATTTGAGGCCGCAGCAGCTTGCAGAGCACGCCCACATCGCAGATGTTCATCAGCTCCTCGTATCGGTGGAGCACATGCAGCGGCACCTCATAGCTGAACACGTGCGGCACTTTGGGCTTGCAGCGGCGCGATTTGCCCAAGTGCGGATCGAAGAGCTTGCCGCCTTGATGAAGCACATGATTCTTCTCCAGCTGATTGCGCTCCTTTTCGCGGGCCAAGCTCGTGTTGCGCCAGCGCCCCGTGGCCAGCGGATCCGGCGACTTGGTAAAGGTGCGTAGCGTATTGTTGCTCTTGCGATAGAGCGCGGTGAGCATCTCCATATAGGACAGCTCCATGCAATTGCCCTCTCTCAGTTTGACCTTGGGCGGTGGCAGGCAACTGTTGACCTTGCCCTTGATATTGGCAAGCCGATCGCGATGCTGTCGATACATCTCCCGCTGCTCGTTCATGAGCAAATGGGAACGCGACTTGATCCGATTCGCCTTGCATATCGGCATCGGCGACGGCAGCAGGCGCTGATGGTATTTGTGGCTTTTGATCGGCGCTGCGATTTTGACATTAAACGTATGGCTATGCATCTTGGAGCTATCCTCTTCAACTTTGGGGCTGCTGTAGACGGGATTCGTGAGTGTATAGGGACCGCGCGTCACTGCTGCAACATATGGCGCCACCTTTTGGCCAGGGGCCAACGGCTGTTGCTTTGTTCGCAGTTCATTGGTCACATCTTTAATAAACATATTTGGCACGTATCGACTTATCGCTAACCAAAACGCAAATTATATATATACTTGAATTTTTCTCCGGGTAACTCGTTGTGGAATTGGAATAGACTAGACTTTGGAAAAGTTAACATAATGAGCAAAAGCTCAGAGCCAAATCAAAACATTCCCTAGACTGCTGCGATCAACACAAACATCGACTGAGCGACAAGAACCTAAATCAATTACTTGCACGTATTTTTAAGTGATTTCTACTTTCTGTCTGTTGCGGCGGCAATCAAATAGCGGATACATAAATGATTGCAGCCAAACTGAACAAATTGAACGCAATCATGCGGCTAAACTTTGCTGTCCGATAAAACGAATCAAAACACAAAAAAAAAACACAGTATATAAAATCCTTTTTATTGTAACCCGCCCGAGCGATGATGCGTGCCAGACACAACCTGAGGATAAACGAGTCCATTGCCATGTCAATGAATTGATTCAGCGCTGATAATAAAAGCGCAGTAAATTCAAAACAAAAGGAACTGAAAGAAGTATGAATTCATCAGCTATGATCGACTATGAGACACGCTGGAAAGTTTCTTAAAAGTGTTTCAAAACGAATTGGAAATCAGTAACATTTTATGATAATTCAGTAAGTTCAGTTTGAGAGCTCAAATAGTCATTCAAGTATATACTCCATCTTCTCCTCTTTAACTCATAACTTACAGGGTATGCAAAGCAGAATATTTAATCAAAGCGACCGACCCTAAATTGGTAACCACAACTGCATGTAATCCGTATAGCTGGCAGGCGAGTCCGGAGCTGTAGGTTAATCATAGCCAATGCGGTTTATCGCGTGGCATATTTGATTGGAAAATGCTGAACCAATTGATGGAAATAAATTTATGTAGCTTTAAATCAATGACCGCGAAGAAATAATATATTAACTGCCCTGACCGAAAGTCTGTTAATATAAATATTTTGGGTGACCAAACAAGAGTGATACTATTTCCAATAACTATATCTTAACAGTTTCTTCAGTTATTATTTTGCATTTAATACTTAAATATTAATTGATTGTGTTTTGTCTAAAAATATTTGAAAAAATTAACGTAATTCGAGCATTTCCATTTTACCAGTCGCTTGATTTGTTATACCATATGTATTGGCTTGAATGTAGTTTCGAAATAACATCGGAAACAATTTGATATCTCAAACTATTTGTTGCGTTGCAATTTCTTTAGCTGTTGCTCTTATTTGGTCAGCACAGAAAAAAAGGGATTTCATTGAATAATTTTCATAATTTCTTATTTGATTAGCTAAGCTCAATATTTGTCAATTAACATAAATATCATAAATTGTGTTCATTTAATAATAAACAAAAAATATACACGCTTTAATTAATTACTTGAAAATGCTGCTAAATTAACATTTGCGGTTCACCAAATAATGTTTGCGCATAATTACAGATTTAATTAAAATTTGCATTTCATTAAACGAACGTGTTTTTTATTCCTTTCTGCAGTTCTAAAACTTTTCACTGGAATGCAAATTTTAAATGTCCGCTTATATTTTTTGCATACCCTCAGCGAATGGAAAACGACAACGGGGCGTAGTAGTTATTTGAATAAAATGGCATGTTCTAAAATAGAAATTATTTTTTTTAAATGTAAAAAAAAAATTTAAATAAAAATGTAATAAAAATATTTAAAAAATTGAATAAAACTAAAAATCATTTTTGAGGAAAAATCATGATGAAAAGTATTTCATAAGTAGATATTATAAGACGTGTATCATTAAAAATATATTTACTTCATAGACACAATTGAATTAGCTGATGAATTTGTATATTTTTTGCATCATTTTGTTTATACATAAAAATATTTTCATTTATATTTCAAATACTAGTTATTAGTTATTATTTAAATTTTTTTCGCCAAGAAAAATATTTTTAGAATTATTTCAATTTTTCTCCAGTGAAATTCTAATTATTTTAGTTTATGTTTTTATTTCTAGCTATGCATTTTATTATACTATACAGCTAAAAAAGTAAATACAAATATTATTAAGGCATCTGCTTGCATAAATAGTTTTACTGTAGGTGTTTGAGCTATGTATTTTTTTTGATTAATTCCTATTGCCGGCATGATTAATAGCATTAAATAATATCAAAAGCATCTGTTGTCCGCAGGAGCAATAAAAAATCAATCGCTTTGCATTAATTGAATGTTAATATGGTTACGATTTTGCGGCAACAATCAAATGATTAATGGCTGAATGCTTATACATACTTCGACATCGACACGCGTGTCTCTGGCAGCAATTGAATAATAATGAGCTGGGAGCCAATCGCCAGCGGGGACAGACAGCAAAATGGGCCAGAAATTGTGATGCTGCAGCATTGCGAATAAGATCAAGGGCAACAGTCGAGTGGCTGAAGTGTGATATTAGGGCACAGTAATCACACGCTATCAATGATGACACTGACAAGGTCAATAAGAGCGCCGCTATGCTAAATATGTGCGTGTAGACAGCGAGCCACTCAAGCGCCATTGTTCTCAAGTGTCGCCCACACACGCAAATATAAACACTCCTGACTGCAACGCCCACAACACTTGATTTCGCCTGCATGTCGAGCATGCCTTGTGGAACTGCTCAAGTATTGTATTTTTACTTATGCTTGTCATCCTCGTGCGTTGTATTTGCATGCCACAAGCTCGTGTTGCAAATGTGTCAAGCAACAAGATGCTAACCGTTGAGCGACCGACTCACAAATGCAATCAGCCCGACAACTGCTGACAATTTAATCAAATGTATATACGAATATGTATATGTATATTTGCAACGTCTAGCTTTCGCACAATTTCATTTATTTCACCCACAACTTCCGATGCGAAATTTGCAGAATTCAAATTCGAATATGAGTTTGAATTTGTGATATTTGGCATAACTTCATTGTGTATTGCATTAGATGGAAGAGCTTGAATAAGTTGTGAAACAGATGAGTTTGTTGTACTGTTGGGTGTTTCCTTTTACCATATACCTACTTAAGTGCCCCTCTATGTGATTCTCATAGTCGCAAATGCGTAATAGATTGTAATATTATGAAATATTTGCCATAACTTCATTGTGAATTGAACAATTCTAACAAACTGTGAAGAGGATGAGTTATAAGTATTTGATATTTACTTAACCTTACGCTAAGTCATGGGATTGAAATATATTAAATATTAAATAATATAAATAATAATTAAATATATTTAAAAAAGTCTCTAAGAAGTTCTTCTTGCGTTGTTTAAAGTTACTGCCTTATATTAATGTCAGTATAGCCTAAATTCTCAAATATGTCTCACTTTAAAAATAAAATCAAAATTAGTAAAAATTTATATAGTAAATAAAATCAGAATATTTAATAGTTATTATTTAGTAAAAATATATTCAAAGCATTAACTTCAGTTTCTAATTCACAGAAGTTGGAAACATTTTGTAATTTTTATGCTTCTCAGTTACCAAATTGCCGCATGATGACATTTGGCAGCACTTTTAAAAAGTTTATTGCACTGCCATTACGATATTTTATGACATATAATATGAAATATTTTAGCGAATTTTGCTCTTAGACACCCACAAGCGTGAGGCCAATACGCCAAATATATTTTCTTTTTGGCTCGTCGCACTTAAAGCTTTCACTGACTTCAATGTTTCTTCTGTTCTTCTGTTGTCTAAGCATTCATTTTATTTGGCATAATTTGGTATTTGGTATGAATGTATACACCATAAAACCATATGCTGCTGGGAGAGCCAAGAAACATGTATTGACCTTGCCGCTGTCTCGTGTGTGTGGCAGACAGCTTGATGCTTTTATGTTTTCATATTTTTGAGAGTGTTTTTTATGGCGACTACCGAAATGGAAACAAAGGCCAACAGCCGAAAGTGAAGAGCATAATGGAGCATAAATGCTTTGACTGTATAAATGTGATTTTATGCTGTGCGCTGTGACGCGCCTCACGCCGCAATCCGACTCCTGCTCATGTATATTTGACTTTTTATTTCCACGTATTACTGCAGCAAGGACTCTTTATAGCCATATTGCTGGCGTGGATTTTCAACTTTAACTGCGCCATCAAAAATCATGCAAATGGCATAATTTAGTGTTTCAGGTGAGGATTTGCTAAAGGCAACTTTCAGTTCCACTGAAGTTCTTTAAAGCAGCTCAAATGGTGTCTGCTGTGGCAACTGATTAATTTCAATTAGTTAATCAACTAACGAGTTCAAGTTCGCATAGCTTCTTTGGCTCTCGCCCAAGCTATTGATGCACAAATTGCCAAGCCATAAAGAGATCAGTTAATTAATGGCGTTAATGTCCTGACAGCAAGCAGCTCTCGAGCGGCTGCTAATTAACCAAATTGACAAATCTAGCCCCGAAAGGACTAAACGCTGCTGCCAAAGCCCTCGAGGCACAATATCATTTAACGGCCTGCTTAATTAACAGCCAAGTCAAGGTGTTAACGGCTTGGCTTTTAAGCCGCCAAAAAATATTTAATCCAATCTCGCATGGTCGCAAGGACAGTCGCAAGCTGGGGGCACCGCCACACATTAAACACCATTTCAAAGGCTTGAAATGCAGGTGGGCTGCTTACCTTTTATGCTGAGGCACTGAAACGAGAACAAAAGAGAAAAACCAAAAGGTTAAATATGGCCATGCTAAAGATGAGAGAGATAAAATCTTAAGTATGCGTGTAATCCCGAAACAATTTTATTAGCCAAGCCCGCCGAGCTGGCTTCGACGGCAAACGGAAGCCAATTAGGCTAATGCTCTTGTAGGCACAGCGGAGCCTAAAAGCGTCTTCAAGTGTTTACATATAGAAACTTCACGGCTGGCCGTGCCGTGCCGTGCCCTTAAAGCAGATTATATTTTAATATAAGTACATTTGGGCGTAAGAAAATCGTTTATGTGCCGCCGCTCAACATGTTTTCCCAGCAAACTGAAAAACACAGCCGTCAGGCATTGGCTTTGCTTTGCGGTCCTCGAAGCAAATCGCTTTGGCAACTTTTGTCATATTTAAATCAATCTAAGAGATATTTCTTTTCTATCACAGTTGTTTGTGAAATTTTAAATTTCTAGCGAATTACAGGCAGAGATATGTGTAGGAGTGCGATAGTCGAGAGTGGTCGACTGGGAGATACCCTGGAGCGCGAGCAGTTGGTATGTAAGTAAGCAGACAGATAGCTGGACGGACTGGCCTCGACTAGGCCTGGATCGACTGGACTCTCAAGCTTCTTTCTATATATTTAGAAGATAAAAATATATATTTATTTACATATCAAATTCAACAAGCTAAGCAGACTTAAGATGATACATAAGCCTACATATTTATTATATCTAAATACATAAAGATATTGCAACTTCCACTAGAAAATGAAATATTGATTAAAAATGCATGCAGAAAAAGATTCTCATGAAATTTCATTTTCAAATTGCACATCTGCTCAAGCAGAAAACTTAACTGTGCACACCATCTGCGTATGGAAAATTCTTCAAAAAATCTTTGCCCAAAAACAATTTTGAAACAAAGTTTTCGCTGCAAAGCCTAAGCCAAAATACAGAAATCGCAAAATGTAAACAAGAACGAGCTAAATTGAAGGCTCTATCCAAGAGAGAGGCACGTGCATGCATGTTATTCTATGCAAAAAACAGTGCACACACACACCTATATGCACACACAATCCCACACACACAAAGGAGCAGTACCTAAGCCTCGCGTTTTTCGAGCACCAACCGCTGCGCAGAGTTAGGAAGCAATTTATCAAAACACTGCATAACAATGGAGCTGGCACATGCGAAGCCATAAAGGATATTCAAAACTACTTTAACTTTATGCTCCTGCGATCAGAACACGTGTTAACAACATAAATGCATAGCAGTAAGCCCCAGACCCTTCTACAAGGAGTCGTGTGTTCGGCATGTTCTTGGCGCCTGCAGAAGCTTTTCATTTGGAGTGTCTGCAGCAGGTTGTCCTTGGCAGCTTCAGCTGCAGCTGCAGCTGTAGAAATAGATTTGATTCAATAATTTTGTTACCATTGTCTGTTATACAAAGAGTCACAAGGAGTGGCAGAAGGCAGGGGGAATGAAGTCTAACTGAATTTATGGAACTGTTTGCATGGCAGCTATTTGAAACAGAAACTCAGCAATATTTAGTAGATGATTTAACTGGAAGTCGCTTAGGATATATCCTCTTTTTCTGAGCTATATACTAGTTGACAGCATGGCTAGAAGAGATAGCCAGTTTGACACAGCAAGAATAATGCTATTTTCGATTAATATATTTCAGTCGTCAAAATATTTTAAAAGATCTGAAATTGTTTTAAAAATTTACAAAAGTTTTACCGAGTTTTCAACTTATTTATAAAAATATAAAAATTCAAAAATTCAGTGTGCGCAGTTTCGACACGCAACTTCTAGTAATTAGAACTATTTTTATTTGTTGTTCAGTTCAACTTAAAAATAAAGCTTTATTTGTCAAATTAATTAATCAAAGTAAATCACTTTTACATAGTTACAATTAATTTGAATTTTTATTAATTTGTTACAACTTATACACTTAAATTCTCATCAAACTGAAAAGTTGAAGTTATTCTGAAAAGTCGAAAAATTAAATAACAACAACTTTCTGTATTCTTTTTACTCAAAGTTAAAGTCTCGCTCCGTTGAGTTTTTTCTTAATTGGCCCCAGGCATAGAGAAATGAATTTTTAGTTCAGCCATGGAGCATATGGCAAAGAATATTTCATATGTAGTGGAGCAGAGGCAGCTGGAATCATAAATTAAAATCAAAAGGCGTTTGGGAGGGGCAATAAAACTGAGAAAAGTTTGCTGAATGGCGCCTTAAAAGGCGAGGCAGGGAGCGTTAAAAGGTTCCATTGGGCATATATACAATATGCACACAGAGCGAGGTACTCATGTACTCATGTGAAAAGTCAAACACACTCACACACACCTCTATACGCACGCAGACATAGACAAATGGAGGTGGCCACAAAAGCAGCTGTAAAATAGTTTTTCATATCCGCTGGCAACTTGCATTGTGAGACGGCCTTGTCTGTAGTTCATGCGCTGCTTCTGTGTGTGTGTTTGTCACCTGAACAGCTGTTGTTGTTGTTGTTTGGAGGCTGTTATCCTGTGGCTCTGTCAGCCATATGATTGCGCATTCATAATATTTCTTAGCCCCGTTCTCTGGCTTTCCTTTGCGCTTGCAGCTCGAACAAAGCTCTTTTTTCTCATTTGGCTTGCGGAAATTTGCACTGCAGTGCGAATCAAAGACGCTCCCTGTGCCATTGACAACACACCCACCCACACACACTGGCTTACAAAGTATCTGTCACTAAATAAACTTTGATTTATTTATACACACTTTGCACTCTGCTTTTCGGCCCTCGGGCAAAGACTTTCAAGTCATGGTAAATATTTTGTTGCCGCTTTCCAGAGGCCAAGCAGCTGCTCTCAGAGTGTGCAGTTCTGTCTCTGTGTGCCCCTGTGTGTCTGTGTGTTTTTATACTTCCTGTTGCCTTGATTCAACTTTGCACTTCGAGTTCACTACGCATTAAACTGTGTCTCAAGGTAGCAAGTGCACATTCAGAACTTGCAGACAATTTAATTTCCAGACAATTAGATAGGAGTTTGCCTCCATGCCACGTTTGTTATAAGTTAATTAAAATGCTATAAAGAGCATTGCTTATTCAGCATTCAGAGCTGTTTAAGAGATTAGCCAAATATTTACTTTAAATGGATTTTATCATGCATTTCAAACAAAGGCCAGCAAATTGTTTCATTTACCCAACCAGAAAATTAAAATCAATCGTAAAATTTGAACGATAAAAGTTCTCAGAGAAACAAGAAAAGGTTTTTAGGCCTTAAGCTCATTGCATATCGATAAATAGGCTTTGGTCGTTCGTTTGTGTGAATTGGTTTATATTGGAAACTGTTTGAGTTGAGGCTCTTGAAATAATTATAAATTATTTTGAATTATTTAATCATGTTCGAGTGGCCTAAGACGATTCATTATCAAATGGCAAAACTTGAACTGCACGAACTTAGTTTAATATAATTTCTGTTAACTATTGTTCAATCGGCCTTTGGCTTAATTCAGTCACAAGTAATACATAAAGATTTTAGTCTTCTCTTGCCACTCACTCGGCAGCTCGATTCTCTTTAAAGAACTTTAATATATTTTTCATTTAAACGTCGCTTAAGTGTGGCCTTTAAATTTCTGGCTTTTGCTCTAACTTAATGCTCAAACATAGTCTATGTGTAAATATTTATGAACGATTTTGCTGAAATCTCTGCACATCACAGATCAAATATTCAATGTTAGCACAAATAAATAGAGAATCATTGTGAAGCCGACAACTTGTTCGAGTAGTCGAGTACTTACAGCTGTCAATTCACATGCACTCACCCAAGCACTCAGTCATAGTCGAGAGGCAGTGCTCAGGTGGGCGGGCCGAAGTCTTTCCTCAATAGTTTGGCTGTAAAAGCAACAATATCTCCTGCTATTTTCAGCTATTCCTTTTGGTTCTTTTTTTCGGGCTTGTCAGGTTGCTGATATATTTACCGTGACAGCCGCTCGATGGAGCTGCCTGGCCGTGGCGAGGGACAATGTCTGTTGGCAGCTATTTGCGTGCTGCATGTCCGCATATTGTCGCGTGTTGCAACAGCTTTAAGGGATTTAAGCAGATTACAATGGCAACAAGTTTGGCAAGTTTGTAGAATGCAGCACGTTTGATGCATCTGCACAAACTGCATTCGTCCTCCCCACAGGACTAACCATTTTTACATAAACAAATTGCCAGGGGCTTGCAGCTTAATACACATTCTAAGTGGCAAAGTATGTAACGATTTCGAAGCGAATGCTTAAATAAAATGTCACTGAAAAGATTTGACGGTTGTTACGCTGCAAAGACTCAAATCCTTTACCAATGACCGACTGACCGACCACCTGTTCCTCTTCGCATTTGATTGCTCTTCACTTGAACCGGATTGCCCTTTGAGCTGACACCCGAAAGCTGCTTGAGCTGTCAACTCAGCTCATCTTCCAGCTCTGACACGCCATATAAAAGCAACAATTTTGTATTTAAATGCTTCAGCTACAGCTGCTGCTGCTGCTGTTGTATACTCATATGCATGGCAAACATATTTGAGAGGGTTTTGTGTGCTGCAGAATGTGCAGCAATTTCACATAATCTTGGATAGTTTCGTCTCCCCCGGAATAGCTGAGCCAGCAGCCGGAAAATATACATGTGAGTACGTGTAAAGTGGATGCAGGGGCGCACTGCTTGTGGCACAAAGATGAAGTTCTATGGGCATGTGGCGCAGCATGTGGCACGACTGCAGCTGAATTTGTTTGCTTATTATGTTATAATTCGCATATACGTATGCGCCCCTGGATGCACGTCTAACACCAACAGCGCATAAACAAACCCATTAATACGATTCTACGCGCGGTTTTATGCTCCTTAAGCACCACGTCGCATCGAATCGCGGCACGTGCAAATACTTTCACGCTTGTAATAAAGTGCGCTTTCAGTTGACTTTCGGGTAATAAATGGCTGAACAATCGATGTGCACCAGCAACCTTGACCTTGGGCCGGAACGAGTTATGCGGCTATAGAGGATAAGCATAATATTTATATTTTAGCTAAAGCCTAAAGTTTTCGTTTGATAGTTTGAATAAATTTGATTTTGATACCACAATTTTGCTTCAGATTTATCTATTTACGTTGTTTATTTTTGTGAATAAATTGATTGCAGTTGAAAACTATAAAGATTAAAAGCAGAGAAATGCCTTCTTCAATGCATCAATTTGGCAATTTTAATAAATAAAAAATATTTAGAAAAGAAATGAAAATGTGTTAAGCAAGCTGAGCACATTTATTAGGTATTTTAATGGCCTTTCAAGAGATTGCATAAATTTTCATTTCAACTTTTCATATTTATAGAGCTGCAAAGCAATTTCAATGAAAATATTGCGTATACGCAGTGTAGTCGGCGTTTGTCCGGCTGCCATTTATAAATAGGCATAAATCTGTGCTTTGATCTCAACTTCTCAATGGAAAGGAGAGTAAATTTTAGTTAAATAATGACACTAGTGAACACATTTGTTTTTTATTTATTTTTTGAATACTTAAATAAATTGTACATATTTTTTAATTACATATACAATTATTTTATATATTTCATTATATATTTTATATGTAAATATTTCAATAAGTATTTGAAATATTTCCTAGCTCCTTTTAGCTCAGCAACATTTTGTAGTCAAGTGTTAATTCTTAAGCTTGTGTTTTCGTGACTCGCCCATCAATTTCTATCAGAACACGCACTTAATGTGCTTTCCTTGTAGTAGTTGGTTCGAGTTGCTTGCATATGCAAATTTATGCGCTTGTTTACATTTTATCAGGCAGCAGCACAATAAATTGCAGTTGCTAATGTTTCTGGTTGGGTTGGCCTGTCAATTGATCCATAAATGCCGCACGAACTGCACGACGATTAAATGAAATTGTCTGCCGTGTGGCAGCCAAATGTAATAACAGCAGAGCAGTGCACTGGCATCTGCGAGGCGCCGGTAAAGTTTCTGAGATATTGAACAACGCCCACAATTCAATTGAATGCCAGCTCAACTTACTGTAGTCAACGATTCGTCCTTGTGCCTTGATTGACTTGCAATAGCAGTGGAAGGAGCACAAGAATCCACAGATAAATACGAGCAGCAACCACAGTTAATATTACATCTTACAGAGTAAAGCCATTAAAGACCCAAGAAGCTGTCTAATCGTAGTTGGCATTGCAGTAGTTCGATAGCTCGATAGATTTCCTCATCGCAGAGCTGCTCATATTTCAGAATTGACGTTTGACAATTCGTGAGAGAACATCACTTTGAGTAAGGCACAGATCACGTGTACAATAAATATAAGCTAACTTTGATTAATCTTGCTTGGCAGCATGGCACCGCGGAAGGCTAAGGTACAGAAGGAGGAAGTGCAGGTGTCGCTCGGGCCGCAGGTGCGGGACGGCGAGCATGTCTTTGGCATTGCTCACATCTATGCCAGCTTCAATGATACTTTCGTGCACGTCACCGACTTGTGCGGACGCGAAACTATTGCACGTGTCACTGGCGGCATGAAGGTCAAGGCGGATCGTGACGAGTCATCGCCGTACGCAGCAATGCTGGCCGCCCAGGATGTGGCCGAGCGGTGCAAGGCTCTTGGCATTACGGCTCTGCACATCAAGCTGCGTGCCACAGGCGGCAACAGAACCAAGACACCCGGACCCGGTGCCCAGTCCGCGCTGCGTGCTCTGGCCCGCTCGTCCATGAAAATCGGCCGCATCGAGGATGTGACGCCCATTCCATCGGACTCCACGCGTCGAAAGGGCGGCCGTCGTGGTCGCCGTCTCTAATGCGGTTCCATATGAATGCGAATGCATTAAATTTGATTTTTTATGAATTAATGAATGCTTATTAAATGCAATTTTTAATTTCCAATGGCTTTGCGGTTAGGTTTTAAAGGCTTGGGAAAAATGTTATTCTTTTAGGATTGGCTGCCTTTTTACTGTGACTGGGACTCATTAAGACTATTAAAGACTTGACAAGCTGCAACTGAAACTCAACACAGCTCTAGGCCAGAGTTGTGCGGCATGTTGCCTTTGTTGCAGCTGTACAGAAATGATTGAGATAACAGAGCAAAATCGATGCTGCCCAAAAGTTTCTCAAAGCTGTTTGCATGTTTTGTGCATTGAAAATAATTTCAATTCGTTTAAATGTAGCCATGGGAATATTATTTATAAACATTTGAATATTCAGCTATTATTTTAAATATTTACAAAAATATTGAAAACGAAAGAGTTGTAAATTGAAATTCGATTTCAAATTGCAATTTGTAAACTTCTAAAAAATATAACGCAAAAACAATATTCCTGAATTCTTACGCCTTACTAGAAAATATATTCAATCTTTGTACTTTTAGTACCTTTGGATAATTTCAATTTTATAAAATGAATAGTAAAAGGAATCAGATGAATTTCAAATACTCAATCCACTGCGGTCAGCTGGTCAAACGCTGTTAAATGGTAGAAAAATATTCCCTAATTTGCGCACATGGATTCACTCAGCAAATATTTCTTTAAGTCCATTCGAAAGGCTCAGCTTTTATATTTGCATTGGACAAAGCCCTCGTATTATTTTTATGGCCTGTTTCAGCAAACGCGTACGAATATAAATTTGCACATATTTTTGTGTGCGCTGCTTCTGCCTGAGCATACTTTTTAGCACTTGCAGATAAATAAAATTGTATAGCAACTGCGGGCTAAGGCAGTTATGAAATATAACAATCCACTCGATATGTGTGTGTGTGTGCGTGCGTGGGTATTTATATTTTTGTAAGGCATTTTAATGCTTACAATTCGACGGGGGTTTTTGAGCGCAATTCAGTAACGGAGTCCTGTATTTTCTGCATGTCCTTTGCTGTTTGTTGCCGGCTGGTTGCCTGGCTGGCTGGCTGTTCTCGTCGCCACCTGTCGCCGTGGGCGTGGTAGCTGATATTTCAGGCCAGCGTTATTGCCATGCCGTCACAGTGTCTGGCAGCGCGGGGGCACATGCACACGCCTGCCTCACTGGGCGTATGTGTGATACACAGAATATGGCGGGTTGTTTTTCGCGCTGGTGTTGGCGCAGCTGCTGCCGCATGTTTTTGCACAAAGTAAATTAAATTTTGTGCTGTGAGTTTAGCTTAAATGAAAACTTTCCGTTCTGGCAGCGCATCTCAAGTTCTGTCCGCCCCGCCGCTAGTCGACTTCTCCCCCCTTAGATGGCTGTCTTAGTTTAGTGGATCTTAATTAAAACGCGACTCGACGCAAAACAACTTGAGGCAGTGTTTTTGAGCGTCCCCTTGATGCTTAATTAAAATACTTATACGACATGTTGTACGCCGCCATGAGATGTGTGTCAACAGCTGCTAATGCCACACCTGACGCATTCGTGCACCTGTATAGCATGTCTACCAAGTGCCCTCTCACCCACTATCTGTTCCTGTTTGTATTTGTCTGGCCAATTTCTTGACATGCCCACTCCCATCTCCCTCTACAGTTCCATCAAGCGGCTGCTTGATGCCACCCACACGTCTTCGTGCTCGTTGTCAGCACGGCGAAGTGCGCAATCCACGCTAATTTGCAATTCCCACAAAATGACACAACCATCCATCCAGAGCAGTCGCCATTGCCGTCAACGTCACCAGTCAACAGGCAGCAAACACTTGAGTCTTTCCTGCCTCATTTTACTTTGGGCTTTGTTTTCTGCCATTTCTTTTTTTCTTGCCTGCCACGAGTACGCGAGATTGGAGGCAGCTTTTGTTTACACAAAATGCGGATTTGTATGAGCTTGAGCATGAAAATGTTGGGCAACCAAAATTACGAAATGATGCCAAATTAAACGAAGAACCCAGGTCCAGGGCTGAGTTTCTGAACTGTTAGATCTTAAGTTAAGCACAAGAGACATGGGAATTATAGCAATAGAGCCACAAGCGGACGCTAGAATCGATATTCATGCTAGACCTATCTATATCTAGATATCTGGGGCTGATTTAAAAACTCCGCGTTCTAAGAGTGTAGAAGTTTATTCATATTAGTGAGTGAATGTATTACAAAGTTCCTTAAAGAACCAAGCTCTTACAAAGGTCGTAAATAAATTGCGAATGGATAGAAATTTTCCATCTGCTTGTTGCTCAATTTTGAGAACGAACTTCTTTAACTCGGTTCTACTACTATTCATCTGTATCATTTGTATGATGCTTACCGCAGATCATAGATAGATAGACACCGTTCAGTAGAGCTTGAGCTATTTGAGTTGCGAACATCGCCATTGTCCAGCTCAGCAAATCTCACAGTTGAAGAACCCTGCGCAGAATTTTTCAAATTTATCTGACCATTGCCGTGGGCCTCCATGTTTGACGACTTGAGTAGATAATTTCCATGAGTACTGGATGGAGTGCCGTCGGTAATGCTACTTTCGTTGCAGGACTCGCATGGATTCTGCTGCAGCTTGGGCAACTCTTCGGCAGCCATTTTTGTGATTTTAATACAGTTTTCGAGGATCTGCGCGCGGTCGTGCTGCTGCTCATCGAGGCACTCTTTTCGATGCTGGTAGTTTTTGAAAGCCAACTCGGCCTTCGAATAGTAACCGGGCCAGCAGTAGTCACGTATATTCGACCTGGTCAGCACTTGACTCTCGGGCACTCCTATGTGGTTCTGGCGTCGATAGGTCTCGACCGCCTTAGCTATGGGCTTCATGGGGCGACCCGTCTTTTGAGCAGCAGTCATCGCATCGAGCGCATCGTTGAAGAACTTGACATCGTCTGCTAGATGGGGGTCTGCTTGGCAGGAAGACAAACGCAGTTGCTCCTGCTGACGGCGCGCACGGAACTCGTCATGCTGGTCACAAAGCATCCGTCTTAGTTCAGTGGCATCTTCTTGTTTTTTAGCCTTGCGACAAACTTCGATTTGTTGGTTTATCTGTTGATTCTTTAATCGTTCTGCAATTTGAAAACGGCGAATCTCGGCGAGCTGCTGACGTCGCAGCTCCAGCTGCTTGCGTTCCTCCAGCTCGTAAGCACGACGTTCCTTTGCCAATTTCTCTAGCCTACTCTGACGAGTTGTTGCCTCAAAAAACAGATCGTTATTGTACCGTTCCATAAACTGATCCTGTAGAATTGAGGCTAAGGCATGGCGTCTCGCTGCTGTCTGACGTTGGCTCACTTCAAAAGCAACTTGCTCCCTTTGAAGTATCCGGTCGGCCAGCTGCTTTTTGATGCACTTGGCAGAGTCCGTAGTCAGCTGATGACGCATCTCGTTATTGAAAAAAATTGTACGATCTTCAATATCTTGGCAGCTTTCGTTGTCTAATGTTGATGAGGATTCAGCTTAAACTAATTTAAAATATCTCCCTCTCTCTCTTTTTTTGAACTTACATTTTGCTAGCTGCGCCTTTTCCTTGAGGGCATCTTGATAGGCGCAACGAAGGAACTGGCGACTTTTCGCATCGCGTTCTTTGGCTGCCTTCTGCTCTAGCTCTTGCATGGACTGGTACTGCGCCTGCTTCACAGTGAAGTCGGCGTCCTGCTGCTTCTTTTCGTCCAGCTTGCGCAGTCGCGTTTCCTCAATGTCCTTGGCCAACTCTTTCCCGTACTTGAGCGCCTTTGCCCTTTTCTCCCTTTTTTGCTCCTGCTCAGTGAGCGCGCAGTATGGGATGCAGGTCGCGCCACACCGCTCATCATCCAGTTTCTGCTGAACCTGAGCATCATAGGCAATTCGAAGGTTCAGCTTATCGTTAAGCTGTCGCTGAAAGATCACTTCGCTCTGCAGACGAGCCCTGTTCAGAGACCTCTGGGCCGGCTTCATGTTTTCCAATGTTATCTTGGCCCGATAGACGCGCTCGTTGCGTAGTTGTTCGTCCTCTAGCGACACTTGTCGTTTCCGGATGACGGCCTCCTTCTCTTCCAGTTCCAGCTTGGCTTGCTTCTGTTCGTCGATCGACACCGGGGCAAAAGGTTTAAAGATTCCGCAAATGTACTCGTTGCCATCCCTGAGGTATTCCATGTACCGATGCTGCTCCTGTTCAGCTCTGGTTGCTCTGGACAAGATTTCATCGAAGCGTTTGGCCGACAACACAATAGGAATGTTTCTGCGATTCATCAGAGAGGGCGTATGATTGGGACGCGTCAAACACTTTTTATTGGAAATTATTTTCGACATAGTTGCACACTGGTGTAATCTACCGTTATCTATCGTTATCTATCGTTATGTTTCGTAATCTACCGATATCTACCAAGTCTACCGTGAAATTCTATTCTATGTGTAGCCCAAGTAGTTACCCCAGAAAACTGTAAGATTTGTGTTGCGTGTCTGTCAGTGTCTATTTTTTTGTTAGTTTATGGATTTGATGCCAGCCCCAGAGGCTACTATTTTAACTCATATTTTCAGCCAGCCAGGCTCTATATATGAGATATACGATACAAACTATATGGCCTTTAGTAGAAATGTAGACAACATTTCAATACTTGTTCCTTAAGAGAAAAGAGTATATTAGTTTTTTGTAATTTGAGTCCAGCTGTTCAGACGTCCCGCACTACTAGGGACTGGAGACTTTGTCTATGGATTGTCCACTGTGTAATTGACAAATTTTATTAATATTAATATATCTCTTTATATATAGACGCTTCTACTTGAGAGGGCTAGAATGTGACCCACTCCAAATGCGACAATTCTGCTTATTTACGCAATAAAATGAAGGAATTAACGAATTGAAACATTATTTTGATAAAAACTTGTAAGTAATATGTAATATGTAAGTGTTGTAAGTCTATCTATAAGAAAATGTCAAGCCAAGCCCAACGAGAAAAAATTATCGGCAGCTCAAGAACTTTCCACGTAAAGCAGCGCTGTTAACTCAAAGTTGTAGGGGGCTAAGAAAAACATATAAATAGAAAAACTTAGAGTTAGGATCACCAAGTTTGGCAGTTGAATTATGACCTTGTTAGAAACTGAGCTGTTCTAACAAGTTTCTTTTTTAGCAACTGCCGTCAGTAGTAACTTCCATGCCAAGCAAACCCTGTCGTCATCAAATAATAGTTTATTGAATAGCTTCGTTTACTTAATTTACTTAATTGCACAGATGAATACAATGATATAGGTATCTATAACAATATATATATATATGAATATATACCTACATCTATGTACACACATACACATGTATAAAAATATATATATACAAAGCTCCTGACCTGCGTTACATGGTAAGCCTGTTCCTTTAATAATCAATAATTAATAATTGGGTAGTGTGCTAAAGTCGAATGGCTCCAGCTATACAAACGGATTATAATGAGTTGGGTTAAGTTAAGTTGCCGCGAATTAGCGCCAAATCCTCTTGCGAGGTGGTACCGTGGGCTTCTTTGCATCTTTGCATTCCGGCTCAGGTGCAGCTATGATTGAGTGTTGAGATTTTATATTTGATTTAATAGTTTCCAATGGGGGGACTTTCGACACACAGACTGGCTCCACATTATTAAATTTCTTCGGCTTGGTCAACAGGTCATTATCTGGACATGTCGTGGGTGCCTGCATACAGGCCTCAGTCGGGGAAATGGGCAGAGGTTTGTCCTCGCAGAGAGAGAACTCATTCTGCGGCGGTGGCGCAAAGGATTCGACACTTGCTATGGCTGGCACTCCGCGATGCTGGAAGCACTTGATGGGGCACACTATTTCGCAGTTTTGGTACGGTTGCTCTTTGGCCGCCAACTCGGTAATTGTAAGGCAGTTGTCAAGTATCTTTTCGCGATCAGCTTTTTGCTCTTGGCGGCATTTCTCGCGTGCCTCGTAGTTTTTGTAGGCCAGGTCCGCTTTGGAGTAGAATCCGGGCCAGCAATAGTCACGTAGTTGGCTCCTGCCAACCATTCGGGTCTGGGGCGCCTGCCCGATTTGGTTCTGTCGGCGATAAACTTCTACCGCCTTGGCAATCGGAAGCATGGGCTTTCCCTTCTCGTGAGCCTCCACAATTGCCTGTGCAGCATCGTCGAAGAATATCACATCTTCTTTGAGGTACTGGTCTGATGGGCACGCAGACACACGCATCTTCTCCTGTACGCTATGTTGCAGGAATTCATCGCGCTGCCCCATGAGCATGTTTCGCAAATTGGTCGTTTCCCGTTCCTTATTCCGTCTTTGGACTTCATTGAAACGTCTGTTCGTCTCCATGTTCTTAAAACGTTCAGCGACAGCAAAGCGCTGCAGCTCTGCCTGGCGCTGGCGTTGCTTCTCAGCCTGGATGCGGCTCTCGCGCTCGTAGGCACGCCGCTGCTTGGAGAGCTGGTCTATCTCGCATTGGCGGCGCCCCTCATCCATCTCCACCTCCGCTTGGTAGCGCTCGACAACTGCCTTCTGATTTTCTGCTTCCTTGCGCGCGTTTTCCTGCTGCATTCGGCCGAACTCCTCAGCATAAATCTCCTGCTTCTTTATTTTCTCCGCTCTTGCTGCCTTTTTCTCCATGTTGCAGCGCTTGTCCAGATTGCGACGAGTCGTCACATCAACGCAAATAAGCCGATCATGAATGCGATCACAGGTGGCCTCGTCTAATGGCGTGAAAAGGCAGTGATTATAGAAGTTAATCTACAGTGAGAGCCAGTCAGTGTTATTTGCTTACATTTTTTGATCTTGGCTTTCTCTTCGATAGCATCGCAATAGGCGCGACGGCAAAACTCGCGCTTCTTCTGTGCCCGCGCCTTGGCTTCTTTCTGCTCCTTCTCGTGCAGGCATTGGTACTGCGCGCGCTCGATCAGAGTGTCGCACTCCTCCTGCTCTTTTTGCATCAATTTCCTTTGACGTCTTTCCTCGATATCCTTTAGGAATTCAGCACGCAATCGAATCGACCGCGCAACCTCCTCAGCTTTCACCTCCTCTTCGGTGATGGTGCTAAATGGTATTAGGGTTTCTGGGCACTTAGCGTCCTCTTTGGCCCTTTGTCGTCTGGCATCTTCAGCGATCTCCCGGTTGACAGCCTCATTATATTTCCTCTCGTGTGCCACTTGAGTCTCGACCAATGCATGGTGCAATGCTCGCTGACCCGCCTTCAAGCTCTCCAAAATGCGGTTGGCTCTTATTATGCGTTTCTTTCTGATCAAATCGTCCTCTATCCGCACTTGTTTTTCCCTAATCTCTGCCTCTAGCAGTTCCTGGTCCAGTTTCGCCTGCCTCTCCTCATCCATCGTCTGGGCCCCAACGTTTGTAAACTGCTTACACAGCCAGTCGCTACCCTCCTGCAGATACTTCATATACCGCTCATCCTCCTCCTGCGCTGCCGCAGCCTCGAGCTTCTTATCCATACGGGACCTGCCCATGATCGCCTCGAAGCGTTTGGCCGTAACTACTACTGGATATATCCTGCGATTGGTTAAGAACCTAACATGGCCTGGCGGAGCCGAACAGGCGTTTACTAATCTGTTCATTGTCAGTTGTAAGGATTAATCTACTTTGCAAGTACCACGCAAATACCAAGCATGGATTATTAGTATTGTGTATTGTATCTATGTATTTCGAGTATGCGACACGATTATCGTGCTTTGATCGACGACAGTGTACGCCTGGGCTACTCCCCGACGACTGTTTGCACTGTATAAAATTTGTTTTAATATATATTAATTTATATATAGTTTGAATGAGTGTTTTTTTTTCCTTGAGATATATAAAAACTCAGTTCACTAATTATCGATTTCATACACCTTTTTCAAGCTTTAATAAATCGGCTATAATAAAATTTTACGAAATATTAAATTTTAAAATGACATTTTCAAGGAAGTTGCTTGGTCTTATGTATAAAAATATAAATGAAAGACATTTGAATTCAATCATTAACTAATTTATAATAATTATCAATATAAATTCGACAATATAAAATACGAGGAACCAACTTCAAATCCAAATGCCAATTCCAGTGGTCTGCAGACGCCTTACGAGTTTTTTTCACACGTATTTCAGCATATTCTAGAGTTTGGGTGGCTCTACTGATTCTGTGTGTATGATTGGTCTATCGTTGATTTATTTTTCGCCTGCTGCAAAAGTCTACTCATAGCAAATCAGTTATGACTAACTTCATTAGGCTTCTATATATATTCATAAATTTTTTGTACTTTATGGCAACAGCTTGAAACTAATGAAGTTAAGTTGTTGTTTTTGGGTTCATTTATGAGCCCGCCACAAGGGATGAGGGCGGGAGCAACCCCTAAAACGCTTTTGCTGTTCAACAGCTTAAATTGTCTGTTTGGGCTTCAGGTTGCTTTCGTTATTTAATATGTTTTCCCCTTTTATTTTTTCGTTCATTGTGTTTAGGTTAAAACTGCAAATTAGTTGAAGCTTTAATAATTTGTAATATCCTCTTAGCATATTTAAAAGCTTTTGTGTTTATTATAATTAAGCTGTCATTTGGGAGCCTGAAATATAATAGCTAAAGCTTCAAATGGTCGTCATGACACGGATTTTAATATGTGTTGAGGATATGTTTAATATATATAAATTTTATAGAGAAGTATTTAGAGTTTATTTATTTTTAGATTATTTTTGAATGAGATTTTTTTAGACATTTTTTTAGGGAATAAAAGAAAAATAATTGCAGATCATTAAGGAATATAGTATTTAAAAATATAATCTTTAGATTTAAATATATATTAGAAAAATTGTTTTTAAAATATTTAATATTTAAAATATATATTTTGCATTTATAAAACCCAAAATCAAGATTTTCAATGAAGTTTGTCATTTAAGGAATTTTACCTTTGCTCACTCTCTTCTTCTATATATTTAATTATTTTACTAGTACTACTATTTTTATGAACACTACTGTAGCGTAGATTGTTTACATATCTCAAATCTAAATTATTTTAAATATAATGATGTTGCCAGAAAATTTAAATAATTTTTAATGGGCTCTGCCAACTTTATAATGAGAAAATTTCACAAAATTTGATGTTGTCTCTCAGCAGTTTAGCTTAATATAATAGTAATATAATAGTGTGTGTGTGTGTCACATTGACTGACAGTTGTGTTGTTGGCTAAATGGGATTCAAGTTGGTTAGCTTCTTAAGCTAACCACAAAGTGCGCAAGCTGCTTGTATACAAATGTGTGTGCGTGTGTGTGTGAATGTATTTATGCACACTTCAGTTTTGGCAACGCTCGCCGCGAAGTGTAAGCCAAAAAGTTAAAAAGGGTTATCACCACGATAACGCAGCATCCAGTCTTCAGCTGTGTGTGTGTGTGTGCGGGTGTTTGCATGTTGGCCTGGTTAAGATTTTACCCTTCACTGCACAGCTCGCTGGGTGTTTTCTTGTTTTTTTTTTTTTTTTGTAGACTGCTTCTGACGTTTATTATATTGCATTATACATATTTGTATTTATGCGCCTTGTGGCGGCATTTTTATATTTTTTTCCTTGCTGTTGTGGCTTTAAATACGAAATATATATGTAAAAAGCACACAGTATGCATGTGTGTGTGCGTGTGAGTGTGTGTGTATTTGTGAAAAAAATCCTTTTGGCGTGTGCTAATTTGAAATGCGGTCGCATGTCGCCCGTTTCTCTGTCCCTGTGGCTTGTATGGCGTTGACAAGTTGTGTGTGTGTGTGTGGCAGAATTTTTCGGATTTATTTTAATGCGTTTATATTTGGTTCAATACGGCATAGCATTGAGGACACATGTAACTGTATGCGTGCGCTCTCTCTCGCGCTCCCAGATCTTTCTCCCTCTCATTGACACGGCCAATTTATGAATTATTTATCAATATGAACAATGCAAAAAAAGTTGACAATAACAAACCGCAAACGCAGACAAACAACTTGTGCCATTGACTTTGACAGCTGTTTAAACTGCTGCTCTGAGCGCACATAAGCAGGCAACGAAAATCAATCGAAGATTATCCAAAAGGTGAAAGTCAATTTCAAATATGAGCAAATTATTTATGCAGATCTTGCTGCCCGAAAGAAAAGCCATTTGAATGGGAGCAGGAAATTAAATTGTTTACACGCACACACATAAGAGCATGTATTTGGCTGTACTAAGCTGCTGCTCATCAGCATAATCTGCTTATGTGTATATTTGCATTTCTTAAATTGAAAATAAGTGCCTGAAAGCCTCTCGCAGTACGCGTTATGCTTTATGGTCGCTTTTAAATGGCCCACACACGTGTGGCAAAAAATGACACAGAAAACAGAGACTAAAGACAGCTGGAGAGGGTATATGGGCGCCAAGTCAAAGGAGGAAATGTTTGCTTTTACTTGAAAACTTAACTTCAATTAGGGGAATTATAAAAGTTTTTTCTAATATTTTAATTAATAGTAAAAATGATTGCTAGTTTGCAAGATTCCAGGGTATTGTAGAGTCTAGCTAAGGCTCTCTTCAATGCCGGAATAAAAACTAAAATTTTCTGTGTTGAGCAGGCGACACTCAACAAAAGACAGCGGGAGACATTAAGTACTGAGTTGGCTAAAAGTGTATGCGTGTGAATGTGTGTGCGAGCGGAAGCGGAAATCAGATCAGAGGGCCGTATAGCATGTGCTTGACAGGGACATAGCAGGGGCTGGGGCTAGCCGAAGGTGGCGTGGCATCGTAAACAACCGCAGGGCACATTAACGGAAAAGCGCGTAAAAAGGACAGCATAAAAGCTCGACGCAGGAAAACAATGCGAAAAATGAAGATAAATGTGCGAAAATTGCGTAGCCCGAAATCAACTGTTTTGGTGCCGCAGCCGCGAGAGTAGTTAAGAGCAGAAGCGCGTTCGCTGCGGCAATTGAGCACATATCGAAAGACCTTTAAGGACATTTTCATAAGCCGCTTGCCAGTTGCCGCCCGACACTATGCAAATGTCTACAGTTCAATCGAGTCAAGAGCTCGGCCCTTACTCGAAGGCAAAATAAACAAATCTGGCAAGAAACGAAAATAGAACTGCAAAAAGCATTGGAAAATAAATCAAATTTTACCGACAGGCGAACCACCCCGGAAGCCGCCTTCACGCAGCGAACTTTCAACTCTTCGTCGCGTTTTTCTGCCACATCATAAAAAAACGGATGCAAAGTTGCATCAAGGCCAGAGCCGACAGAGCTTTACATTGGCAACTAGGCAAGGTAAGAAAAAAACATCAAGTAAAACCCGTTGAGCCAGCGCAAATTGCATTGAGTTTGCGTTTCACTTGTAGCAAATCAGAAAACTTATAGATTTCGATCCTAAATTAAATTCCTCTGGGATTATAAATATTTCTGCGTATCAGAAAGCAAATTTGTTAAAAATAGCTCTCGTTTTAATAGGTTTAATAGCTTTTTGTGTGTTTATAAGCAATTTCATAAATTGATGTGGCTGCAAAAAAGGGAAAAGTAGAAGACAGAATAAAGAAAATAAGGGAAAATAAGTAAAAAGAAAGAAATCTCTTAAGTATAATCCGCTTTACGTCTGTCAAGCTCACAAAAAGGTTACGAACGATAATATTCCAAAGTTAAACTAAAGCAGACATAGCTTGAAAACAACATACAAAAACAACAACAACAACAGCAAAGCAAGACATTGCTCAAGACAGCGGGGCGTGGCGAAGGAGTGCAAAACTGAGGCATTGGCCACAACGTGTGGTCTGGAAAATCTTGAGCAAATTTGCGGTTTTTTCTCTCCTCTTTTTGCTTTGCTTTTTATTGAGCTGCTGCTGCTGCATCGACGAAAGTCCCAAAAGCCTTTATGGGCGACAGCAAAAGGAAAGACAGAGAGAGTGAGAGCGTGACAGAGACAAGGAGAGAGGGAGAGAGTTGGCGAGAAACGTTGCGTGCTTAAAAGGATTTTTTATACGATTTTTATTTAATTTTATGCGTTTTATGTGCCCGATCGGCTGACCGCCCGCATTACAGGCGATTTCTTATATTTTTGGCAGCAACAACAACAGGAGCCAACACAAGCCAATGGCTTAATGGGTGTTTAAAGGCGTCTAGGAATTGAGGCAATTTAATGTAGTTCGAGTATGAGTAGGGAACAATTAGTGGTATCGGACTGGAATGGTCTCGGACTGTCCGAATTTAGCTGTATAACTGGACATGGATTATCATTCAGAAATTTGAAACTTAAAAAACAATTATTAACTTATATGAAGTGAGGTATGTAGCTATCAAATTAGTTGTTTAAAATTTAAATTAAATAATGAATTATATATTAAACAGATTGTATACTAGATATATGATAAGATATTATATAGATGATATAGATAATATGACGTAGCTGAGCAAGATTTTATTAAAAATCCTGAATTTATTATGAATATATTATTTTTATTTAAACGTATTTATGAGACATATGAAGGCGTAGATCTATGCTCATTAGCAGGTCGATGAGCTGATTTAATTTAACAATAAGTTTTACATGATCTTTCAACTATAAAGCGCAAGCAGCCAACTCAGAGCAAAGCTTAAGAGTTGCACTCGAATTAAGGACATCTCCCGACTACAACACTCCTACTTGCCTTTTCACATGTATATATTAAATATTGACATCATTAATCTCTGATATTTATCATTCCAGGCAACATCAAAGCACCTATCGAAACGACAAGTATATGCATACATAATATAATATGTTGTAAAATAAAAAAGTTTTG